CAACACTATGGATGTAACATTTTTTGAAAACCAACCCTTTTATCCCACTCTTGATATTTAGGGAGAGAATTTCACTTAAAAATATCAATTGTGGGATGTGAACACACTTCCTCCACATATCTCTTTGACAAATACACCTTCTTCAACAACTGAATCGATCCCTAAAACTACAAAAGAGTTAGTTGAACCTACCGTCCCTGAAATTACAAAAAAGTCTGAACTTGTCACAAAAACTGATAGCACATTACCTGCAAAGAGTGAACTACGTGTTTACATTAAGAGAAATAAGAATCAAGGTGGTAAAGTATCTGAACCAACTACATATTGTCATGAATCAACTCCTGGACCAGGCACTCAAAATACAACAGATAATGAAATCTCTGACTTATCGACTGATATTGACACTGAGTTACCTATTGTTTTACGAAAAAGTATTTGTTCTTGTATCATACATCCCATACAAGATTATGTCTCATATGGTAAACTATCTTCAACATATCATGCACTTGTGAGTAAACTAAACAGCAACACCATGGAACCAAAAACAGTTCATGAAGCACTCAAGTTTCCATAATGGAAAGCTGCAATCCAAGAGAAAATCAAAGCACTTGAGAAGAATGGGACATGGGAGTTAACTGAACTGCCTTCAGGAAAAACCTCAGTAGGATGCAAATGGATCTTCACTACAAAGTATAATTTAGATGGAAGTGTGAATCGGCACAAAGTCCGCCTTATTGCTAAAGGTTTTACTCAATCATATGGGATTGATTATCATGAGATATTTGCCGCAGTTGCCAAGCACAACACTATCCGGGTACTATTCTCATTAGCCTCAAATCTTGATTGGTCTTTTTATCAACTTGATGTGAAGAATGTTTTTCTCAATGGCAATCTAGAAGAAGAGGTATATATGAAAGTTCCACCAGAACTTGAAATGAACCTGCAAAAGGTGCGTAAACTAAAAAAAGACACTTTATGGTCTCAAGCAGTCCCCGAAGGCATGGTTTAATAGATTCACCAGGACAGTGAAATATATGAAATATGAACAATACCAATCCGATCACACATTGTTTGTCAAACACAGTGTCACAGGCAATAGAACTGTTCTGATTGTATATGTTGATGATATTATCCTAACTGGTGATCATATTGAAGAAATTCAGATACTCGAAAGCTTTCTAGCCAAAGAGTTTGAAATCAAAGATCTTGGGATACTCAAGTATTTTCTTGAAATGGAAATAGCTTGGTCTAAGAAAGGAATCTCTGTATCACAACGGAAATATGTCCTGTATCTCTTGAAAGAGACAGGTACGCTTGGTTGTAAACCCGCACCTATAGAGTCAAATGCTAAGTTAGGTCTCAAAATTGATTGTAAACTTGTTGATAGATAAAGGTATCAGAGACTTATAGGCAAGCTTATCTATTTAACTCACACAAGACCTGACATCAGTTTTGCAGTGAGTACTGTGAGCCAATTCATGTCTCAACCTACTGAAGAACACATGAGTGCAGTATATCGAATTCTGAGATCTTAAAAATGACACCAAAATAGGGATTATTCTTTTAAAAAACAATGAACAGGAACATTGACATCTTTACTGATGCAAACTGGGCAGGATCAGTAACTGATAGGAAATCCACATCTAGTTATTGTACATGTGTGGAGCAATCTAGTCACTTAGCGTAGCAAGAAACAATCTGTTGTATCAAGAAACAGTGTTGAACCTGAATTACGATCACTTGCTCGTGGGATATATGAAGGAGTGTGGCTGAAAAAGATACTACTTGAACTAAGATTCGCAGTTCCTACTCCTTTGAAACTCTGGTGTGATAATCAATAAACCATTAACATGACAAAAAATCTTGTGTACCATGATAGAACCAAACATGTTGAAATTGATCGACACTTCATCAGGAAAAAAATTAAAAACTAGGCCATAATACTACTATTTGTTCCAACCAGTCAACAAACTGCATACGTACTCACAAAGTCACTACCAAAAGGGATATTTAATAATATTGTATCCAATTTAGGATTACTCAATATCTATGTAAGCTAGATTGAAGGGGAGTGTAGAAAACCATAAAAGGATAGTTTAGTAATTTTGTGTGAATTTGTGTGGATAGTGGGGATGCCCGCTACCATAATATTTCTTTTTCTCATTCTGTAGGATATTTTTCCGGTGCCAGGTGCCTGTATATGGCACCCTCCTTATTCTGTATGCAAGAAAAAATCAAAGA